CATTTTCCTGCAGTCCTAATATTATTGGGTAAGGAAAAGAACAGTGACAAAGGAAGGTGGTCAGGGTGGCCACAGCTTCCAGGAGAGCACGCTGAGTGGTCAGTTACATCTGGCCGACTGAGTGCCCTGCACTGTCCCAAACCCACACCATCATCCACACCTGTGCCCACTCCAGCTCTAGCCAGGAACTCACCAGACTCTTTCAGTTCACGTGGCCTACCTGCGGGTACTGGATCTTCCCACCTGCAGAGAGAGCAGCTGAGAAACGCCAAAGCGTGGGTCATCTTCCTGGCTTGTCTGTGAATCCCATATCTTCTCACCCACCCCCTGCCCCTCTGCCTTTCTCCCTTAAGGCTCTGAGCTCTGGTTCAGCTGAGTAGAGTGAGGGGCAAAAGGGAGAATCCCTTCAATAGCGGAGCTGGAACCAGGGATGGGGATAGAGGTGAGACAGGGGACTCTGAAGTCGTATAGCCGGCGACCAAGGAAAAGGACAGAGAATGCCACAGAGATGGAAGAACTGAAATAAAACCAGAGAGTGAACAGGAGGCAGAAAACCCAAGGAGTCAGACACACACGGAGAGAAAAGACTGACAGTGAGAAATGCATGCACATAAAAACAGACAGGGACAGAGAAAGGGAGAGTGCTTGCGACAATGGGGAGAAGGTGTGGCCCCTTCAACATCTGTTGCACTTTCCTTATGCAACTTTGACAGCAGAGGCTGGACGGCTAAAAACTATATTTCCTAGAATGCCTTGTGGCGGGGGGAGGGGTGCCAGACGGAGGATTGGTTCCACCAATCAGATGCCTTCGCGGGAAGCTTGAATTTCTAACCAAAGTCCGCGGGGAGAGAGGCAGCCCGAGGCAGCCTCTCTGCCAGGCACTGCGGCTGGAGCCAGCGACTGGCATCCTGACCGCGCGGGAGGTTGAGGGGGTGGGCAGCAGTTCCTGGGTAGCCCTTTCTGGGCCCTGATTTGGGAGTGACCTGGAGCCCCAGCCTAGAGTCTCTTTCTTCTGAGAGGCTCTGTGTCCCTTAATACGTCCCTTTCTGCTTTACACTGTCCCGAGTGGATTCTGTTCGCTGCCACTGAGCAACGATGGGTCCACAGGCGGGGAGAAAGAAATGCAGAGACAGGGAAGGTGATTCAGGGAGGCACACAGAGACCCCAGCCCCAGAAGAGACAAGGAGAGACTCAAGCCTGCAGAGATACAGTGGGATGGAGATGGGGTGGGGGAGGGAAAGCGATGGAAGGAGGAAGATTTGTGAGGCAGAGAAGGGAACTAAGGCAGAGAGGAGTAAGAGACAGGGGCACGGCCAGGGGTCCAGGAACTGACACAGAGACCTCCCCAGCATGCTGGCATGGGGGTGTTGGTAGAGAGGACCCTTTAGAGAGGACACAGCAGTTGATGGCAGGAGAATAAAGGGGGCTTGGGAGAGTTCCCTGACTCGCCAAATCACCGAGGTCGGTCACTGGTGGAGCATTCTGGCAGAATGTTTCTTTCCTATGCCTTTTCCCAGCCCCAAGCTCCAGCAGCCCTGGCTGAGGAGGGAGTAGTGTCCCCGGATGCACTTCCCACTTTCTGTCACTTGCCGCTCAGGTCTTGCCCCCCAAATCAGCCAACTTGAGAAGGGAATGAGAACAGTGATTCAACCACTTTTGATGTCTGAGGCAGATTCCAGGATTAGTGGAAGACTGAGGAACTGGGAGGAGCTGGCAGCGGGGAGGTGTGATGAGGGACTGCAGGAGGGGGGAACTGAGAGAAAAAGAGAGGGAAACTTAGGTACAGGGGTGGGGTGGGGGGCTGGGATTTGGGGGTTGGCGACTGAGGTAGAGAGAGGGGAGTCTGAGGGGCACAGGTAGGGAAACTTGGGACAGAGAGAGGGAGACACCCAGAGGCTGAGATAGAGATAATGTGGGACAGAGGAGGGAGACAGAGAGATGGAGAGACCCAGGGACAGAGTGGGGATGTAGAGACGGGGACACAGAGAGTAGGGGATACTGAAAGGTAGAGATAGGGGCAGTGAGCTAGCATGCTCGAGTTAGGATTCCAAATGGTGGACTTGGCCACCTTGGCTCCTCGGCCTTGTTCCCTTGACTGTATTGTTGCTTCTCAGATTTCTTTTTGTTTTTCTCCAATTAGGACTTCCAGATAAAATACAGGATGTCCAGGTCCATTTGAATTTTAGATAAGCAGCAATGAATATTTTAGCATAAGTATGGCCCCGATATTGCATGGGACTTATACTTTTTTTTTTTTTTGAGGCTCATGTGATCCTCCTGCATCAGCCTCCTGTGTAGCTGGGATTACAGGTATGTCCCACCACATCTGGCTCTTTAATTTTTTTTTTTTTTTTGTAGAGGTGAGGTCTATGCTACCCAGGCTGGTCTCGAGCTCCTGGGCTCAAGCAATCCTCCACCTTGGCCTCCCAAAGTGCTGGGATTACAGACATGAGCCATTGTGCCCGGCTGCTGAATTTATATTTAAAAAAAATTTTTTTAAATTTTTTTGAGTTGGAGTCTCACTCTGCCACCCAGACTGGAGTGCAGTGGCCGCTCCCGGCCACCGCC